AATTCCAAATGTTACAGTATTCTCCCTGGCAACATTTCTTACAAATTCCTACTTTTCTAGATTCTTCACAATATTCATCTTTATGGTCAGACTGCCACATTTCATTTGAGCATCCTCTCTCAAAGGAAAGTGATTTATTATCTTTTTTCTCTTACAACCCAACAACTAGCTTGAGGACATTATGTTTTTTTTTATGTGGACCTGTCATTGTTATTTCACCACCACATGCTATTTCATTTCCTTTGCAGAATAAACAATACATTTCGCATTGAAATCAGTGAAGAATGTTTCCAGGTTTACATTTAGTATGGATTGTAGAATATTCGCAGGATAGACAATAATCTAATTGAACATTTACAGCATTTAGAACCAGATAGATAATATCCAGTTAAAATAATATTATTTTCTATAGAAATTGTAATAGAATATTGATTCAAGGAGAAGTGGGAATAGGTAAAAAATAAATATTTAAAGAATCAGTGTGGGCCTATCTATGTTGGAAATTTATTTAGTTTTTGCTGAAAACTTGGTATAATTGACTTGTCAGATAATTACAAATGTTGGAATGATTCTTTAGAATTTTTTTTTTAACGGATTGGAAGAATTATCCAATTGAAATTATCTATGAAATAATAACAAATTCTTTGTTTATATTATTATTTTTCACTTCATTTTCATCTTTTTTTTTCATCACAGGAGACGTTCTCTCCACTGAAACCAATCCCACAATCCTCTAGAGTACGCAGGCTTATTCAGGTTCCATTCTAATCTAGGCTAAACTTGGTCTCAGCCTTTGCGCTAACTTTTCCAATGATTGGGACTCAATCAATCAATCATTACTGTATTTTTATTTTCCTTCCAAAATCAGCCTTATTCCCAATCTTCTGTGCTCTTAGTCTAGATTTGTCAAACCATCAATCATTAATTATGTTGAAAAATCTTCACTCGCTATAGATTTTTATTTTGTCAGTGAATTTTAGCCATTGGGTAGTTTCTGAAAATTTGTGTTCAGTTAGATAACAATTGTCAAAACTAACATATCTTAATCTATCATATGATTGAAAAAGTCCATTGCAAATATAAGAAAATCCATTTCCCATGCTATTATTATTCAGTAAATGTACAATTTCAATTTTAGAACATGCTTTAAAGAAATTTCCAACACTTTTACTTTGCTCCTCATTTAGGCCACATTCAGTGAAATCAACTTCTGCCAAAGTATTTGATGATTGAATTAATCCGTTGCAAATATCTATTAATCCATTTCCCATTTCATTGTTTTTAGAAAAATTGACTACTTCTATCTGAGAGCAATGTTTAAGCAAATTTCCAATGGAATTAGCTTGTTTAGCAGTTAGTTCACAATTTCCAAAATCAATGCTTTTCAATGTATTTGATGAATTTAAAAGACCATTACAAATGTTCAATAAACCATTTCCCATTTCACTATTAAAGTTAAAATTGATCAACTCCAATTTGGAACAATTTTTAAGCATACTTTCAATAGACACACATTGATCTTCACCTATTTCACAATAGCTGATATCAATACATCTTAAGGTATTTGATGAACGAACTAGCCTGTGGCAAATGTGTTGTAACAAATTTTTCAAAATTTTGTTTCCACACATATATAAGATTTCAACTTTAGAACATTTATCCAACACATTTTCAATATTTAAAACTTGACTTTCAGTTAGAAAACACCATTTAAAATAAATACATTTCAGAGTATTTGATGAATGAATAAGCCCATCACAAATATTTGATAATCCATTGCCCATTTCTTTGTTACCACTCATAGAAATCTGTTCAATTTTAGAACAGACCTTCAATAGATTTCCAATACTGAAAGCTTGACTCTCAGATAGAAAACACCAGCTAAAATCAATATTTTTTAAAGTATTTGAAGACAGTAAGAGTGCATCACAAACTTTCAACAATCCATCTCCCATATTTCTGTTCATGCTTAAGTTTATTGTTTCTAATTTAGTACAATTACTTATTATATAACCAATATCTGCAGTTTGAATAACTGTTAGTTTGCAATGACAGAAATACAAGTGTCTTAAAGTGTTCATTGAATGAACAAGCCCCTCACAAATCCTAGACAATCCATCACCCATATTTTCATTGGAGCTTAAATTTATTGTTTCTATTCCATAACAATTTTCAAGAAATTCTCCAATATCCTTACAATAACTCTTTGTTAGACGGCATTTATAGAAATGGATACACTTTAAAGTAGTCAAAGATTGACGAAGCGCATTGCAAACTTTAGTGAATTCATTCTTTCTGACCATAGTCCTACTACACATGGAGCAGGTATATATATTATCAATATTGGCCAGTTGTTGAAAGCATCTGACACAGTGTACATGTTCACAAGACAGTATCTTAACATCTCTTCCTAGAAATGACTCAAGACAAATGGAACATTCCAGAATTTTCTCCTTATCTATAGACATTCTTTGCGTTTCTTATAAATGTTTCAAATTTATTGGAGAAGGTTATATTGCAACTGTAACCACGACATGAAGCTTATTGAGAAGATTATAACCACATTCACCATGTTTACACTGAAGAATAGGTCTAAAATCTCGAGTATTATTTAAGCTCATTGAAAGAGAATTTATGCAAATTGTGTGAAAAAAAAACATAGTTTTTTTGTTTTTCAAAATAGGGTTATGAAATTGTAATTTCTAACCCTTTATTTATTAAATGTACAGGTTTAGGAGACAATACTTGTATAGCTGTAACAGTAGAAATAGAATTCAATTTAAGAATACCTTGGCCAACAGCTAGTCAGGATCAAATTGAAATTAATGAAGGAAATTTTGGAGAATGTATCAATGTGTAAAATTCATTTATCAACTGTTGGAACTATTGTATATGTATCAATAGAATATCAAAGTCATGTAATTGCATAACATTTTTCAGACTTTTGATAATTGTATTGATGATAGATTATAATAGGACTGCAGAAATGTTGTGTTTACATACTAGAACTTAATTTCACTCAGGCTATTCTTATCACACATGGTCTTCAGGTGTTGCTGTCACTGTATTCAGGATAATTATCTGAAGAAGGGGGCAAACGAATACTGAAAGATAGTGAAATTGTCTGCAAGCCAATCCTCTAATCTATTAGGCTCTTTATTGTTTAATTGGCACACAGAATATGAATCTTGCTAGCGTCCAATGCTCTACCAGAGTAGAGAAATCCAAT